GGGGGGGGGGCAAACGAAGTTTGGGGGGGGGGCAAACGAAGTTTACCCTTATAAATAAGGGGAGTCAAAAATGTTTCAACGCAGAGAAAGGGGGGGGGATTCAAAAAAGTTTTTGAACTTAAATACAATGTCTAGATTTCTGATTTCTATAATCACAAAAGAAGACTCTGAAAATGCCATTTCCAACGATCTAGAGATTCAAAATTTTAAAAATGTCTCTGTTCAGCGCCAACCATGGTTATGCCTCGCGGGAGTCGGGTCCACTAGGTTTAACAAGCTTCCTACCCCCTGAGTGACCCAGTTGTTCTATTTACATAAACATACCATGCAAGTACACTTAACTGATCAGATTCGGTCTATCAAAGCGCAATGTAACGCTGTATATCCAAAAATCTGTTTTAGAAAATGCTCACATTTCAATCCTAGGAGTGGAAAAATACAAACATTTTCTGTTGGGAAAACTCTAAATCAGTTGGGAAAACTCTAAATTGTATGAAAACACTCCGCCCTTCGGGCGTCGTGGTTCCATACAATTTCTCGTTTTCCCAATTCCACTCGTGTTGATATAACTGTATATCAACACGGAAAATGTTTTATATTTGTTAAATATAATATAATATAATATAATATAATATAATATAATATAATATAATATAATATAATATATAATATAATATAATATAATATAATATAATATAATATAATATAATATAATATAATATAATATAATATAATATAATATAATGTAATGTAATGTAATGTAATGTAATGTAATGTAATGTAATGTAATGTAATGTAATGTAATGTAATGTAATGTAATGTAATGTAATGTAATGTAATGTAACGTAACGTAACGTAATGTAATGTAATATATGGAGAGTAAATTATAAACATAACTACATAAGCTTGATAGATGTAAGATAACGAGTTTCACAATCCTATTTTAAATACAACTATGGCTTTTGGCAGTTTTTGCATATATTGTGTTTTTTAAAAGCCCAATTTTCCTACTTTTCCTGCAACGTGTAAAACGCAACGTGTATCGCTGAACTCTATTGGTTTTGTATGGATTTTTATTGTTCCGTCCTCTGAATGTTTGTGATCATGAAATGACGCCGTCAAGAGGTGAAGAACATCTACATGGTATGGTATTGCGAGGGCATTTTACCAACCGCGAGGCCAGTGTGAACGCCTGAGCAGGCGTCTTGCTGACGAATAGTTATGACGTAGTTATGTTGACTTTGATAATTACCCGGGTCCAGTTGTTCAAAGAACGGTTTGTGTTAACCCAGGTTTGGAATTTCTCTTCTGCTCTGGTTTATCTACTTATTAACGTCTGTTTATAGTTCAAAATTTAGATATTTTAAACCAGTCATGATTTCTGAATAAATATTTCTAAGTAAACAAGCTGCTGGGAAGTCTGCTTTGACTTTTTACATCATAACCTAGGGATTGAGCTCATTTTCGAACAACCGGCCCTAGAGTACATACGTGAACACAAAAATATTGTGAGCACAAAAATATTGTGAGCACAAAAATAATAAACTGCAATAATAGACTTAAACTGCATCTTAAAGGATTAGTGTCACACCGGGAATTTTCGGGCTCAAACTCCTGCTAGCGCCCATTTTTCGGGACGAATAGATTAGATGATCTGGAAAGTTTTACAATCCGTCATATATTTAAACCATCCTTTTATAATACTTGCTTTTTTGTGTGATTTTTATCAGAAATGTACCAAACAAGGTATTTTTATCGCTATTTGTTGTATTTAAGTAAAATGTAAACAATAACAAAAGCCCGCAATGCATGACCCTGACACTAATCCTTTAAAGTGTTCGTGTTTCAAGCTCTTAGCTCTATAAATTTGAGGCGTTACAAATTTGGTGCGTAGTGGTGGGATAAATGGAACCTTGTGAAGATATGGAAAATATCTCACTGTGTATTTTTCGAGTGTATCTAAAAGTCGAGAGTCGAGAGTAAAAGTCGAGATTCGAGAGTCCACAGCAAAAAGTCGACAGTCGAGAGTCGATAACAAAAAGTCGAGAGTCCACAAATGTTATCGTTTCAATCTAAAAGAGCTAGGCCCCAAGGTGACTGGCTGAGCGAATTAAAACCATCAAATGATAATCACACACATTGACGTGATTATCATTTCGCGCTGCTGCTGACGTTGTTGAAGTCTTCAGAAACGTCTAATTTTTTTAATGCTTTTGATGGATGGATTATCATTGATTGCCATCGAACGCGGGTGATTATTATCATCGTGAATTCATGTTGAGAGAAAGTTGCAGATGGATTTGATTTATTTAAGTCATGGAGATGAGCACCTATGATATTATACTAAAACAATTATTCACCTCAGGCTCGGTGATTATCGTGAATAAAAACCTCGACTTCGTCTCGGTTTTTATTCACCGATAATCACCTCGCCTTCGGCGAATAATTGTTAAATATAAACCAAATACTACCAATAATACTAATTATTATACATTTAATATGTATTCTCGTTTCTAATTGGTCAGAAAGCACCGGCTAATTTTAAGTATTCGGCATTTATTACGTATTTTCCGCCGATGACGTCGTCAGCGTCCAATAATTGTTTTTTTGGATCGAACTTGCATCCAAAAAAAAAATTATTGGACTCTCTCGTGCCCAAACCCTTGCGCAGCCAAAAGCTTGAACCTATAAGCGCGGGAAAAAACAAACAAACAATGGCCGACAGCAGATTTGCTTCGCTGAATGAAAGTGAACTCTCCAAATTATTGGCAGATAAGGATAGTGAAAGCACGAAAAAAGCCACAAAGGGGTAAATAGAAGTAGAAATATAATATTTAGCTGACCTTTTTTGACTTTGTGCAAGGTGTTTGATATTCAAATTGTACTTTTCCTACCTCATGAACAGGAATCGTATTATACGTTTCTCATGTCTTTAAATGTATAATAAAACAATTATTGGATTCTGCTTTCGCATGATATCAAGAATTATTCAGACCTCGGTCTATGTTATCCGCCTCAGCTTCGCTTCGGCAGATAACATTGACCTCGGTCTGAATAATTCTTGATATCATGCTCAGCCTCATCCAATAATTGCTTAAAATTATATTAATTTTCAAATACCTTACAATAATAATACAAACTACACCTTTTTAAAATTAACATAATCCACAGGACCACATTTCCCTAATTTTGAAAACTTCAAATATAATTGCAGCATTTGTTTTGGATTTGCTTCTAGACTTAACAACATGTCTTTATGTTGGCAAACATCCCAGGAGTAATCATAATGTACCTGTAAATATTTACGTCTATCTACTGGCACTATCTTTAATTTTTCTAGAATCAGACCAATATAGACGTCTTCCAGTTTAAACAATGGTTGCTTGGGTACAATCATCATCATATTATGAATGACATCTGAACTAAGGATATAACCCATTCCAACACAATATGGTGGAAAAGTGTCTCTTTGGTAATCCTTTTTCTGTACACCCCTGCAATTAATGAAATAAAATCATGAAAATTAGATAAATGAAATGAAATAACTCGCAACTTGTTCTAGCCTTTCTCGTTTCCCTACAACAACAAATCGAGGTTGGCACTGTTTTCCTGCCAGTCGAAATTTATGTACTGTTTAATAAACGAGTAGGAGTGTTTTATCACATATAAAACACGACGCGTAGCGGAGTGTTTTATATGTGATAAAACACGAATTACGAGTCTCAGTTTCGAGTAAACAGCTTCGAGTCTCAGTTAGATCACGGCATTGGCGAAGTAATTTTCCAAAATAACTTTGTATTAGCCGAGAAAATACAAGTTGAAATTTGAAGCGTGTTTTATCACATATAAAGACACGCCACGCTTATGATTTCTCTTTGTGTTTTCCTCATGAATTATTAATGAGTTTTTGAAATATATTTATAGGAAGACTGCATGTTGATTTTGCAGTTTATATAATTTTGATCACCCAAACATCTACCATACTTGAAATGGTATGGTGATGACTTTACGATTACGATTACAGACACAGTTAGCTCTTCTATATCCCAAATCATGGCTCGACCAGGGGTTCTGGAAGCACGCTCCCCAGAAAAATTTGGGTTTGCGAAGCCTCGAAACAGCTTTTCTTTTTAAAAAATTATTAGCGACTGAATTGTTGTCGGCAAATGCGATAGTACACCCCCCCCCCCTGCTTTAGCGTCTTCGCTACGGCCCTGGGCGTACTAGAATGTTCAAGGGAATACAACTTGTAGTCGCCTTTGTTTTAGAACAAACCGGCTCGACGAGGCGCTTTCAAAACAAAGAAATTTGTCATGTGAGACAAAAATTGTGAATTAATCGTGGTCCCAGGGATATTCTCAACCGCGTTGTCATTCTCAAGACAACGTTAAACAAGCATTATCACGTCTTTCAGGCAACGCGAAAGCTTAATGCGACCCAAGAGGTGTTACTTAAAGTCGAAATTACATCAAACATTGCATCGCCTTAGCCGAACGTACGTAGCAGTTTGGTAAGGTTATTTGAAAAAGCGTCAAATATTTAATACAGTATAAATTACTTAGCGCTCATTCTTCAGCTGAAATTTAGACTGCGTCGTTGAGCCGGCCGCGTCGTAGATCGTAAACTCCCTATTTAATTTATTATAACAGTCATAGTCATCTTAAACAAGTAAGACAAGATGTAAATGAAATGAGCTAACACGCTGCAGATAATATATAGGTATCTAAAAAGGTTTAATTTCGCTTGAAAGTTTCACCTGCATGAATTTTAGTATAAACCTACTAGTAGGCTATCATGTATCGTGCGTTTTGATTGGCTACGCTACTAGCAAGTATAGGCTATTAAGTCGGTTTTTCATTTCGCCCGTATCGTACCGAAACGTACTGGTGAGCATGCGCAGATTTAAAACAGGTTTATAAATCCACGTACTTCCAACACCGCGGAAAAACGTCTGCACATGCGTCAACATTACTGAAATCTGTATTGCGAACGTGTTGTCCGGTGTTCCGAATGTTGTCAAAAACTCAAAATGGAAGCGACTTCGATGTTGTGCCTTTTGTATGGGAATGCAAGCGGAATAATGAACGTGACAACCCAACAACCAGAAACAATTATAGTCTACATGTGCAAGAAGCAGTATTATGCAACAAAATAAACCTAATTAAGGTGACTGTCGATAAATTTATTGTATAAAACGTTCTTTAACTGAACCATACAAAGAAACTTTTCCTAGGTTCAAATGATCCACATTTTTGTCGATAACTTTTTTTGCGTAGCATGTATAATTTTTGCGTTGACTATACTTAAAGGTAATGAGTTACTTTACAATTAAATCGTGTGCAAATGCTTAACTATTCCATCGTTTTCTTAACTTTTGTGCTTAAGTTCGGTATTCGACAATTTTTCAAGAAATGTTCACACGCCTTCCCGGTCTTAAACGATAATTTTTTTATTTAAATTATGTTTCTGCTTAGATTTTAAATGTTAGAAAACTTTTTATTAATGTCTAAACTACCCGTCTAGTGTATTTTTTGTTTGTTTCAATTACCTTAAATAATTAAATAGCCATGTTTTTGTTTATAATTTTGCATTTACATTCCTCGCCATCTTTTTTGTTCCCACGCATGCGCAGACGTTTTTCCGCGGTGTTCGTATTTCCTGCAACACCGCGGAAAAACGTCTGCGCATGCGTCAACCTTACCTGTAATAGTATTGCGAACTTGATGAGAAGCTGTTCCGAACGTTTCCGAACGCTCAAAATGGCGGTAAAAAGGAGTGATTTCATTGTGCGTCTTTACAGCCAGATTTCAAGCGCAAAAATAAACATGTCATTCTAAAAACTAGAAATAAATACAGCCAGAAGGTTCAAGAAATTGTATTGTACAAGAACACGAACTAAAGGTGATTGTTGACAAATTTATCGTCTGAAACATTTTGTTTATCAACTAAGCAATGACAATTTCCGAATTTTCGTTTGAGATACATTTCTTTAAAAAAAACTGTGTCGCCAAATATAAAAAATTTGCGTGTTCACAATAATTAAACTTTAGGATTTATTCTACAATTTGAGTGGGTTAAGAAGCTTAACTTTTCGAGAGTTTTCTTAAATTTTTAGTTTGAATTTTTGTTTTGAATAATTTTGCAAAAATTTTCGAAGTCGTGTCCGTTAAAATCAACATTTTTTACATGAATTATATTTCATTCCATACTTTAAATGCCAGGACGCTTTCAATTAATGTCTATAGTCTACCCATTTGCTATATTTTCTCGTTTGTTTTACTAATTTTTGACCAATTAATAAGCATGTTTTTGTTTTAGAAATTGATATTCAAATTCCCCGCCATATTTTCATAATTTGGTGCATGCGCAGACGTTTTTCCGCGGCGTTACTTCCTGGTGTATTCGCGTATAAAAATAAAAATTTCGTCACAAGTCAACTTTTTGGCGTACTACGGGAGTACTAATTAATCAACATTCACGAAATTTTGAAATTTAGAAACGTTTTTGATACGTTTCGGTACTTGAAGTGGAAAACCGGCTTTAGGCCACATAAAAAAAAACTAGTTGGTTAGCGTCCTCGCCCGCCCACAAAAAAGGCACCGCTCAGGATATTTTTTTATTTTTTATTTAAAAAAAAACTTTTATTGATCAACGGGCTCTAATATATTTAGTATTTCTGTCGACTGTAGTCAATTGTGTTAATAAGTTGCGAAATTGCGTGCGAAATTGACAGTATGAATCATATTTTGAAATATATAAAAAATATCGGTACTTGCGCAAGAAAATCCAGTTTCGGACCTAAAACCAAGGCGTTAAAAATTAGTAAAAATTTTAAAAAAAGCGCCCGCCCGCCCACTTTTTGGCAAAAGCTAAGGACGCTAACCAACTATTTTTTATGTGGCCTAATAGTGATAGCCTACTAGTAGCAACAAGTGGCGAAGGGCGCGAGAGTCAATGGTCGTTTTTAAGTATTAAAAGCTGCATTTAAAGGGGAAAAGCTTATCAAAATGGTCTAATTTTTGTTCTGGATTGCACACAAACAAAGACTCTTGGAAACTGCTGACACCACAGCCGACATGTTTTTAAATATTACCTATCTGATCTCATCTCTAATCGGAAATGCGTCACAACGATCCAGGACAGTATCGCATGACTCATACACACTCATTACACATCCGGTTGGCAAAATGGCGATTGTCAGACCTTCGCGAAAGGCTTATTTTTGCCAACAAACTGTTCACGAGGGTTTCGTTCTGTTCGTCTTCTGGTTCGTCGTCAATCCCCATCAGCTGCTTCACTTTCTTCGTCGCTTTCGTCCTCTTCAAAGCGAGTTGCCGGAGCAAACAGCGTTAATATTTGCTGTCTTTCCAAGACCTTCCACGAGCTTCAATCAACATTTGCCCGAACGTTAAGTTGTTGCTTGCCAAACTGGGCAATCGCTGATGTTGGGCAGGATGCATTCGATGTGGAACGAATGTCACAACCACGGAAAACGTTCGCGAAGGTCTGAAATCGCC